CAAAAAAATAAGAAAGCTCATGTAAAAAAATAAAAAAATTAAAAAAATTTAAAAACAAAATAAACAAAAAAAGACAAACACCACCACCACCACCCCCCACAAAAAAAAAAAAAAAAAAAAAGAGAGAGAGAAAAAAAAAGATGGTGAACTTAATTGATAAATACTATGTGTATTCTGACTGCTTCACCAACTGGTGGTTCCCGTCTCTCCCTCTCCCTGTTCCCTGAGACAACAGTACTGAAATCAGCCTAGTTAATAACCCTACAATGGTCTCTATTGAAGTGGCAGAAGAGTCCCACATCTCTCACTTTAAATCGGAAGCTAGAAATGATTACGCTTAATGAAGCAGGCAAGTTGAAAGCAGAGATGGGTGGAAAGCTAGGACTCATAGGCCAGTTAGCCGGTGTGTACATAGGAAATGTTCATGAGGGAAGTTAAAAGTGCTTCTCCAATGAACACATAAATTAGAGAAAAGTAAGGAGTCTTATCATGATAGGAAGAACTGTAGTGGTCTGGAGAGATCAATCAGCCACAACATTCTCTTATACCAAAGTCTAATACAGAGCAAGGCCCCAATTCTCTTCAATTTGAAACTAGCAGTAGTTGGTTGGTGAGGTTTAAGGAAAGAAGCCATCAAGGAGAAGCAGTGAGATCTGATGTAGAAACCCCAGCAAGTTACCCAGGAGACCTAGCTTAGATAACTGATGAAGGTGGATTTCCTAAACAACAGGTCTTTACTGTAGATCAAACAGCCTCATATTCAAAGAAAATGCCATCTAGGGTTTTCATAGATGGAGAGGAGAAGTCAATGACTGGCTTCAAAGAACAGGCTGCCTCTTATGTTAGAGGCTAATGCAGCTAGTGACATTAGGTTGAAGCCAGTGGTCATTTACTAATTTGAAAAATCCTAGGGTCCTTAAGAATCACACTAACACCACTCTGCCTGTGTTCTATAATTGAACACCAAAGCCTAGATGATAGCACATCTGTTTACAACAAGGCCTACAGAATTATTTTTTTAATCTTTTTTTTTTTTAATTTTTATGTGGTGCTGAGGATCGATCCCAGCGCCCCATGCATGCCAGGCGAGCAAGTACACTACTGCTTGAGCCACATCCCCAGCCCCATACTGAATTTTTTTTAATATTAATTTTTTAGTTATAGGTGGACACAATATCTTTATTTTTAATTTTATGTGGTGCTGAGGATTGAACCCAGAGCCTCATGCATGCGAGGCAAGAGCTCTTCCTCTGAGCCCCAATCCCAGCCCTGAGGCCTACTGAATATTTTAAGCCTACTCAGAAAGAAAAAAAAGACACCTTTCAAAATATTACTGGTCACTGACAATGTACCTGGTCAACCTAGAGGACCAATGGAGCTGTATATACGATTAATGTTTTCATGCCTTCTAAGACAATATCAATGCTGCAGCCCATGGATAAAGGAGTAATTTCAACTTTCACGTCTTATCATTTAAGAACTACATTGATCAATGTACTTGCCATATGTAGTGACTTCTCTGAAGGATGTGGGCAAAGTATATTGAATATCTTCTGGAAAAGATTCATCATTATAGATGTCATTAAGAACATTCATGATTTATGGGAAGAGATCAAAATATTAACATATACAGACCTTTGGTGAAGCTGGATGACTTTAAGGGATTCAAGACTTCAGTGAAGGAAGTGAATACAGATGTGGTGGAAAGATAATCGAACTAGAATCAGAAATGGAATCTAAAGATGGTGACTGAATTGTCGCCATTTCTTAATAATTTTTTTTTTTTTTGTACTATGGATTGAACCCATGGGACACTTTACCACTAAACTACAACCCTCTCCTTTTTCTTTTTTTATTTTGAAACAATGTCTCACTAAGTTGCTAAGGCTGACCTCAAACTTGCAATCCTCTTGCCTTGGCATGATGACAAAATGGATGAGGAGCTGTTCCTTATGATTGAGCAAAGAAAGTATTTTTTTGTGATGGAACCTTCAATGGGGAAGAAGCTGTGAACATAGTTGAAATGGCAATGAAGGATTCAGAGTATTACATAAACCTAGTTGATAAAGCAGTGGCAGAGTTTGAGAAGATTCAGTTCAATTATGAAAGTTCTACTATGTATGTAAAATGCTATCAAATAGTATCACATAGTTCACAGAAATTTTTGGTGAAAGAACTGCCAAATGATGCAGCAATCTTCTTTGTCTTACTTTAAGAAGCTGCCACAGCTACCTCAACTCTCAATGACCACCAACCTGGATCAATCAGAAGACTACAGTATATTATAAACCAATTTTTGTATGTACTAGGAAAGCAAAAATTTCACACCTTGCTTTATTGCAATATTTGTTTCACTGTTGTGGTCTTGAACAGAAACTACACTATCTCTGAGCTAAGCCTGTACATCTTCAGTCTCAAAGTTCTTTTTTTGGGGGGTACTGGGAATTGAACTCAGGGGCACTCAACCACTGAGCCACATCCCAGTCCTATTTTGTGTTTTATTTAGACACAGGGTTTCACAGAGTTGCTTATCATCTCGCTTTTGCTGCGGCTGGCTTTGAACTCACGATCCTCCTGCTTCAGCCTTCCGAGCCTCTGGGATTACAGGTATGCCTCACGGCGCCTTGCCTCAAAGTTCTTTAAACTTGTTGATAATGTCCAAAAAGGGAAAGAACTGAGACCCCTGTTGATATGACTGGCACTCCTGTGAGGCCACTGGACTTCCATAATTTGCCATGCTTCCTTCTCTGGTGGCAGAGTCTCAGTGCCTGCTTCAAATGTAACAGAGACTGAGCTCTGTGAGGGCACAAGCTTTCATTATTCATCTCTGGATACAGATACTACAAGCAGCTGGCATTTAACAAACATATTTTATTAAATGAATAATGTTACCACCCTAAATGAAATCAAGCAGAAGAGAACCCAGGTCATCTGATCATATTGAAACACTGTATACACAGGTACCAAGGTACTTTCTCCGCTCCATATTTACACTGCTTTACTCTTAGCCCCATCTATGAGAAGCCTTAATGGCTAAAAATGTGATGCTGAAAATGCAATTACAGACAAAAGAAGGATAGTAGAAAGACCTGAAATAAGAGAATTCTGAAAATGTAATCTACTCTAAAGAGAGTCCCTTGTTGATTGGGCTTAGTAATCTGTAAGACTGCTATGCTAGGAAGCCTACCAAACTAAAATAAGACAATGATTAGATTACTCTATTATTAGATTTCCTATTCAAAAAAGGAGACTGGAATATACTGCTAAAAAAGGAAAAAAAAATAATTGTTAAGAACGCATGCAAATCTTTTTGATATTAAAATTAAAAGCTCTATCAACATGTAATACCAAGACATGAAAAGATGCTTAAGATCTATTAAGGGAAAAAAGAGTAAGTTAAACATAATATGCAGGTTTTGGATTTTGCTTTAAAAAAATGTTAGCATGTTCACAGAAAATATCTGAGGAAATATAATCTAAGTATTAACAGTAATTAACTCTTGGGGGTAAAATTCTAAAATTATGGCACAGTTTATAATCTTTACTGATTATGGGGGAGAGCACTTTCTACAATTTTTATTTTAGTGATGTTTACATTTTTAAATGAATATATATTACCTTTGTAATAAAAAGTGTACAAATAAAACTGAAAAAATTCTTTTATATCTTTAATTAAAAAAAAAAGTCAAAGAGCAGTGTTACCAGTGATCAAAAAAGGGTGTTGTGAAACCACCTTCTATGGGACACTAAGGCTCCTCTCAAAGGGTCTCTGAGAACCAGCATAGCACATGAGGGCAGAGAGATCTGCAAATATATCCCCACTAAACTCCTGAGCTTGAGCATTTGAATTTTAATATTTTATACTTAAGTTCTGTTGCCAATGAGTGTCTGAAAACTTCTAATCTAAAATATGTGTAAATAACTATTTCTGAATGTCCCTCAGCCTTTCCTGGGGTCTGTGCAGATTCCCCAGAAATGGCAATATGCGTTCTCTCATATTTCCTGAGCATGACATTTTGGTAGCTAGCTTCTTTAAGCATAAAGTCTGCTACATTTATGAGCTTTCTGAGTACAAGGCCGAGTGCTCTATGTGTAAGGTTCCTCTGTTCAAGAAGGCTAAAGGAGCAGGAAGCCTTCATTCCCTACCATGTGGCTAACCTCTCTCAATCATGGTCTGTTGCCATCCAGAAGCTGGACATTGGAGGTCACCAGAGACTATTTTTTACCATGAATGGGAAGTCAATTAGAAATAGTTGAATGACTTTAAAATAACTTTCTTGAAAGGGGATGCTTTTCTTTCTCTGCAAAATTCTTCTTTCTCATCACTGGTCTTTTTTCTAAAAGGCTATACTGAGTGGCTATAAGTCCTTTGCTTTGTTGTTGTTGCTGGGTTTTAGAGGGCTCCCATAGATTTTTAAGGTTAGTTGTATTATTCTAGTCTCATCAGTTTAAGAGAAACTTGGATTTCAGAAAATATAAATGAAGGGTTTTAATAAGTGAACCAAATGTCTGCATCCGCCAGAGCATGATTTTTGGAAATCTGAATTTGTTTGGCTACATATTATCTCTAATAATCATGGAAGGTTTTTGAAATTAAATTTCTTTTTTGTTTTGTTTATTCTTCCTGACTCTCACAGTCATATCCTCATCTGGATTCTTATTGGGCTGAAACTAATATGGCGTTTTCTGTTTACTACTTTTAGGCTCCACTGCTTCAGCAAGGAAGCACATCTGTGAATTTCTGCATCAGAACCAGCAGGGGGAGTTCACTCACACAAGAATCTGAAGCCCTTTATAAAGGGATGGTGAGAAAAGCAATTCAACTTGCTTCAGTAAGAATGGGCTTTTTGCATGTTGGAAGGATTATATAATAAGCAACAGGTTATCAACAGTAGTGCTGAGATGAAGAGCCCTTGACAAGGTGTATTTAGAGAAAGCCCAGCAGCCAGTGCCTCAAGGGCAACACTACCACCCACGGCAGGTGCATATCCTTCCCGTACCTGTTTTTCAAGGCTTGGCTTGCTAAGCTGTACAGTTTGAGGTCCAGCGAGTCTGGTCCCTGGAGTAGCTATCACAATGCTGGTGAGCTGGGCCATGGGGAACGTTTTGGCTATGGTTGCGGTCTGCCCATTGACAACACGGACAGGGTGAATGGAGTTCTGGGATGTGGGGAGGGTTGTCGGGGTAAACTTGGTCAGCATGACAGGCCTCTGGATAAGTTGAGGAGCTGCAAGCATGGGAGGAGGTGCTGGGGCGATAGGAATGTTATTCTGAGCCACAGGCTTGGGTCGAACCTACGGGGGAAAGAGAGAATAATTACTGTATTATTTAAAGATACTTCTCAAGTTGTATAAATCTAAAACATAAAATCTTCTACACTATGTATGTGAAATGGTACTTCATACAATACTTATTAATATTTATTTTCTTATTTTAATTCTTCAGCTCTTAGGACAAAATCTTACAAAAGGCCTATTGGCTCATAACAGGACCCAAATGCTACCCTGGAATGTAGTAATTATGGTTCAACTCTCAGCTCCTTCTTGTATAGCATTCTGCTTCTTCAGACAGAGGTCAAAGGCCTGATCCAGAGAAGAGTCCCACACAGAACTTGTGCCAGTATAGCAATAGTATTGCTAATAGCCTTAATTCACATTCTGAATTTCTTCACATTGATTGGTTAAGTAAACCTCCACTTCTGGCCCTCTAATTCCCTGTTCTTGGCTACTTCTGTCCCATCTTAAATGCAAATATTTCTCAGGAGTTTGTTCTGGAACCCCTCTTGTTCCCCAATGGCCTCACTCTTCCTAAAACTTTAGTTACCATCTGTGTATTAAAGACTTTCACAGTCTTCTGGTCTCAGAACCAGAAATATTTCCTAAACTTCGGAATCATATTCAACTCCCTGTTAGATAACTCTACTAAGTAAATGGCCTTTTCTTGATAAATAAACTTTGGCATTGGGGCTGCAATTGTAATTCAGTGCACTTGCCTAGCATGTGTGAGGCACTGGGTTCAGTCCTCAGCACCACATTAAAATAAAGATACTGTGTCCATGTAAAACTAAACAAACAAATAAAAAAACTTTAGAATCATTCTTGACACTTCCTACTTCAACTCTACTACCTAAATACTTTCAAATTTATCTACTTCTTTCTATCCTCACTGCAACAACAGTAGTTTATGTTTGCACAACTGAAACCAATTAAAAAAATATGTATTTAAGCTGGGCACAGTGGTGCAGGCGTATAATCTCAGTGGCTCAGCAGGATGAGGCAAGAGGATCCTTAAGTTCAAAACCAACCTCAGCAAGATCCTAAGCAACTTAGTAAGACTCTGTCTCAAAAAAAAAAAAAAAAAAAAAGGCTGGGGATATGGCCTTGGGGTTCAATCCCTGGTACCAAACAACAACAACATCAAAAAAGCTAAAAAATATGGAGTCAACCTTACCTAGGTTCAAATCCTGGTTCTAACACTCATAAGCTCTGTAACCTCAGACAGCATATCTGTTATTTCTAAACCAGTTATATTTCCAACTTCTAAAACTGTGATCAGAAGGTAAAATTCTTTTCCTTTATGCATCAGAGTTTGATTCACAGTTAATTCTATCTAGTTCTGTACCTCCAGAAACCCAATAAGAGTAAGAATACAACTATGTTATCAGGCATGCATGATTAAAAAAAGCATTTATTACTGAATCAATAAGGGATAATTAAATTGGACATGGATGGGGAGAATTATATTCAATAGGACACCATGCTTTGGGCCCTCCTAACTGGGTAACTCTCATTAACTTGGATATACCCATTGTAAGGCTCTCGAATGCCATGCCAATGGAACTGTAACAAGATACATTGGTTCCTGTGGCACATAAGGCTTCTATGCTAGAGTGGCTCTCCTGATGTCCTGGATAAAGACCTCATTTCCTTAAACCTGAACAATCCCTAGATAGCTACAGGAACTTCTATACAGTTGCTGTAGGCACTCCCATTGAAGACAAATGTCTAATGCTGTCTTTTTGGCAAGTGGTTTTTTTCTATCCTGTATCATTTGAAGTATACTACTGTTAAGTGTGGCCCATGATAGTCTTGTCTGTCTAAATAAAAGTTTAGCTTAACTTAAAATAACCCTGAGGTGAGTACCACTGACTTACCTTAGGAAATACATTTTAAAGTACACACATAAATATCTGTATCTATATAAAACAAAAACTTCATGAAATAAAGTATATAGCATGGGCTATCAACCCACTAAATAGGTTTCACTAATGAGTTATGACCTGATGTTTGAAAAACATAGACTAAGCCTTAGACTGCCTACCTAAAAAAAGGAGTAATACTCATATTCACAGGGTTCTTGTGAAGAATAAAATAGACAACCCACATAAAGTGCTTAACATAGAACCTCATATATAACAAAATCCTCTATAATCATTAACTATCATCATTACTGAATTTCCTATCTGTTCTTATCCATAGTCTTGATCATTGCTAATCCATTCTCTAAATAGTGGCAAGAAGAAATTTTCTTCTTATTTTTTTGATACTTTTTTAGTTGTAGATGAGCACAATACCTTTACTTACTTACTTATTTGTTTATGAGTACTAGGATTGAACTCAGTGGCACTCAACCACTGAGCCACATCCCCAGCCCTATTTTGTATTTTATTTAGAGACAGGGTCTCACTGAGTAGTGCCTCGCCATTGCTGAGGCTGGCTTTGAACCCATGATCCTCCTATCTCAGCCTCCCCAGCCACTGAGATTATAGGCGTATACCACCACGACTGGCTCACAATATCTTCATTTATTTTTATGTGGTGCTGATGATCGAACCCAGTGCCTCACATGTGCTAGGCAAGTGCTCTACCACTGAGCCACAACCCCAGCCTCAAGAGGGAGTTTTCTAAAACATAAAGTTTGATCACATCAAGGCCAGCTTGGGCCACTTAGTGAGGTCCTGCCTCAAAATAAAATCAAAAAGGCTAGGGAAGTTGCTTGAAAAATTCTTTGATGGATCCCAGCTGCCCCTAGAATAAGTCCCAGATTCCTATACAACCTAGAAGGATCCACAGGCTCTGGCCCCAGTGGACTGCTCTAGTCTCATCTCTTGTGTAGATCAGCCCCACTGCCCACTGTGCTCAGCTACAGTAAAAGTTCCTTCGGTCCCCTGAAGCTACATGCACCTCTACACTTCAGACGCATGTATACTCTGTCCTCTCCCTGGGACATTTTTATTTTTCCCCCCAAATTTTGTCAAGCTAACTTCACTAGGATTCTAGGTCTCAGGTTGAATATCAATTCTTCGAGGAAACCTTAAAGAAACTTTCTCTACTGCTCTTGAGAATGGGCTGGGTGTTCCTCCCACATACTCTCAGTCTACTCTATACTTCCCGTAACAGACACTGTAATTGCCTGTAAATGTCTCTGAAGCTCTTTAAGAGCAGAGAACCTTCTGTCTTGAAAACTGGCATATCTATAGCGCTTAGTACAGTGTTTGCTACCCAAGATATTTATTAAATATTTATCTGATAAATGACTGAAATCATCTTATCTCATGCTAGCACTGTCCAATCTCTCTCAAGAGACTATTTGTAAATCACTTATGCCACTGATCACAAAATTCTTTTCTTCCTTTTTAGTTTTTAGTACTCAGGATTGAACCTAGGGCCAGGCAAATGCTAGGTAAGCACTCTATTACTAAGCTACATCCCCAGCCCTTTTGATTTTATTTTGAGATAGGTTCTCACCACGTTGCCCAGGCTAGCCTTGAATTTGCAATCCTCTCACTTCAGCCTCCTGAGTAACTGGGATTACAGGTGTGTACCAGAGCATCAGGTTACATAACTCCTTTCTTTTCTCTCTTAGCCTCAAAGGTAGGGCCTCAGTTTTACCCTTTCTATTGGGCAAGTCAATGTCCTCAAGAGTCAGATAGGTAATCCTGACACTCTGCCTTGAAAATGGTGATGGGCAGTCAAACTGCTAAAAGAACACTCAGGAAAAATATGAGCAAGCAGAGCTGTGTGAGCCTGAGTAGAAAGTACCCTAGGCATATCCCTTCCTACATCTTATAATAAAACTTGGCCTTTAAGTATGATATGCAATATCATCACTTGTAGAGTAGAACTGAATGGTTTCCACTGGTTAGTTTGGCTGTCCTTCCCACTTTCATTTGCAAAAGGAAAACAAAAGTGGTAACTGTATTCTTTCTTCACCGCCAGGCAGGTTTTAGCTAAATTATAAGGTTTACAGTGGTGTTATTTGTTTATTTCTTATTTTGCTGGGGACTGAATCCAGGGCCTTGTGCATGCTGGGTAAGAACTCTAGCACTGAGCTAGCCCCCATCCCCTAGCCTAATGATGTAATTTTTTTTTTAAATGGACACAGTACCTTAATTTTGTTTATTTATTTTTATGAGGTGCTGAGAATTAAACTCAGTGTCACACACATGCTAGGCAAGTGCTCTACCACTGAGCCACAACTCCAGCCCTAATGATTGTAATCTTAATTGTTTTGAATTTAGGAAAATTTCCTTTTCCTTCACTTCTCTCTTCTACTGCATATGGTCACTGCTAATAAACCATGATAAAAAAAGATAAGATTCCTCCTGGTAGAGAAACTGGCAGAATTTTTTGCTAAGTGGGATCTGAATGCAGCTGAATTGGTAAGCCTGCTTACAGGCTGCTTAGAAAAGGCCCATGAGGGCAAATGAATTAAACAGACACTTCTCAAAAAGAAGAAATACAAATGGTCAAAAAAATATGAAAAAATGTTCAACATCATTAGCAACTAGGGAAATGCAAATCGAAACTACACTGAGATTTCATCTCACACTGGTAAGAATGGCAGTCATCAAGAATACAATCTATAATAAATGCTGGAAAGGATGTGGGGAAAAAGGGGGACATTTTTACACTGTTGGTGGGACTGTAAACTAGTATACCCACAAAACAGTATGGAGACTCGACTAGGCATGGAATCACCGTATGATTCAGCTATACCACTCCTTGGTATTTAACCTAAAGAATAAAGTCATCATACTACAGTGATACATGCATACCTATGTTTATAGCAGCACAACTCACAATTGCCAAACTACGAAACCAGTCAAGGAGTCCATCAACAGATGAATGGATAAAGAAAATATGGTGTACACATTGGAGTTTTAGCCAGCCATAAAGAAAAGTAAAATTATGTCATTTGTAAGAAAATGGATGAAACTAGAGACCATTATGTTAAGTGAAATATGGTCAAACTTAGAAAGTCAACAGTCATTATGTTTTCTCTGATAAAGTGGAGGGGGTGGCTTCTCATGAAAATCAAAGGGAGATCAGTAGAGTAGAAGAAAGGGATCTGGGGAGGGAGGGGAGAAATGGTATAGAGTAATTTTAGTCAAATTATATTGTTATATTGAGTGCATGTACAAATATTTAACAACAAATCTCATCATTATATACAACTATTATACGTCAGTAAAAAATGTAGAGAAAAAAAAAAAGTCGCATTAGGACTTGTGTTCTACCTAACCCTTTACCAGCTTCTCACTGGCTTACTCACCTGTGGGAGAAAGTTTGGACGTGGAGTGAGTCTGGGAGGAGGAATAAACTGCGGTACTTTGATGGGCTGAGGAGGTGTGGCTTGAACCTGCTAAAAAAACGGGAAAGACAAATGAATCAGAAGGAAAAATCATAATTCAATATCAAAGCAATAGCAGAATACAACAGTTACTAATAGGGCATTATGTAAAAATGTGGATGTGTAACCGATGTGATTCTGCAATCTGTATTTGGGGTAAAATTGGGAGTTCATAACCAACTTGAATCTAATGTATGAAATATGATATGTCAAGAGCTTTGTAATGTTTTGAACAACCAATAAATAAAAAAAAAGAAAAAAATATCAAAGCGAGACATTCTTCTCTGGATTAGACATTTTCTACGAGCTTTCACTGTAAAGTTAACCACTTGAATTAACACTGCATTGGGAAACTTTTCTCTCTCCCACCTGCACATTTTATGCCATAACATGAACTAATACACCTCTGTTTCCTCACAGCTCAAGTGGAACAGAGCAAGCTCACCATTCTTACATGACTTCCTCTGACACTCAAGAACTCTTGCACTTTCATATTTTAAAAGTTAAGACTGGATCCAAAGTAAATTCAAACTTGTGGACTGGCCAAATGGGCTTTTTCCTGATGGAAGAGCCGTATCCAACAGTGAACACTAAGTGGCTTTATTCCTTTAGAGGATTTCTTAACTCTCAGCATCTAACTGAGTGAGCTGGTTGCTTCTTTAGGGATTCCTGGGTAAATGGCAAAGCTCCACCATGTTGTTCTCTAGTTTCAGTAGTCATTGGTCATTCTTCAAAAGCCACCAAGAGCTCATAATTGCCATCTTAAGGAAAGAATTTTGTCAAAATTTGGATATAGTTCATCCAAGTTTCTGAAAATATTAGTTTCTAAATGGTTTAATCCTAAAAACCTCATGAACAATTCCTGTTCAAGTACTTCCTTAAAGGGATCCCACTCAACCCCCACCACAGAACTTGGCTACTCATGTTAATTTGTGAATATCTTGAATATTTTATAAACAAGAGAGTTTAAATACTCAAGTTGCACAGGAAAGACAGTGGATAGAATGGAGGGACAGATAAATGAAACAGCATATATGCCTTCATGAAGGAAACTTTTCCCTGAAAATCAGGTCATACTTGGTGTCAAGACACCTCTACAGTTAACTGAAAAAAACTGTGGGAATGCTATATTGTCTCATCAGGATCAAAGGGGAATTTGGCATGCCGGAGGAATTGGAGCTCCAGCAGGAGCTAAAATGGATTACTCTACAAATACGTATCCTGAACCCTCTTAACATGGGTACATGAGTAGCAGCTGCTGGCTTACCAGAGTGACTGTGTTTTTTGCCACAATTTGGACAGCCTCTGCCCCAGGCCCAGTGACCTTACTAGACGTCTGGAGGTTGACTGGTGTGTTCTGCACATCAGTGCTGAGCACAGCCTTCTGACTGTTGATGGCAGTCACCATAGCAATGGTAGGTCTCTGGCCCACAACAGAGGCAGGCATGGTCGCAGTTGCTGCTTTCAAGACGAGAGGTAGTGTCTTTGTGGTAATCATAGAAGCTGTAGTTACAGTCTTCTAGGAGACATGGAAAACAGATATTAGGACACGGCAATGTGATCCAACTAAACAATATGCTACTGAACTCCGGAAGAAAATAAAGCAATAATTCTCATACTTAATCAAGTTTCTAGTATCACAACATTTCTCTTGTGTACATAGAGTACATAGCTCACTACAGGGAAAGAATTCTCCAGCTTGCTGGAATTCACAAATTAGTGTTATCTGTAAATGGGCAAGCTCACTCTAATAATGTAGACTAATATGGCAGAGAAGGTTTCTGGACACAGAATGAGTGTACTTATTTCTTCTAGTCTAATTCTTTGGTCGAAATCAATGAATTTACATATAGGATGCAAATAATGGGAAACATATCCTCTCTATCCCTAACTGCTATAATCTTACCAATATGAAGAAAGTCATCATATAATTCCGGCTTTCTGTCCCTTGTGACACAAAGGGTGGGGGAAAGAGACAGTCTTTCTTTTTTGAGTGTCACCCAGGAGAGGCAGAAAATCCCAAATTCCACATAATGAAACATTAACCAACTAGTATAGGAAATACTAGTTCTTGATACCAAAGGGATATGAGTCCCTACCTATAATCTTTTCTCCAGAGAACTGCTATAAAAGTGATCAAAGATTCACTGAAATGTGACAAGGCCGAAACAAACACCTGAGTTTCAAAAAGCCTTCGAGATCAGAGGATGAGCTGAAGTGAGAGGACTTGACTGACTGATGCTCCGTAAGTGCTATTGCAGCTTTTGAAGCTATATTTTTCTAGATTTTTTACTAGAATAATTACAAGTGTCAGTTACAAAACAAGAAAACAGAAACATGCTCATTACACGGCACACGTCTATCTTGTGCTACTAGTCACTTGAGATGCAGACATTTCAGGAACATGAAAATGTATCCGGCCCAACTTGCTGGTTCTGATATTATTCTACCATTTCTTCTTATTCTCCATTTGTACACTTTGGTAGCTACAGGCCACATGTTGATATTAAATTTAAATTTAAACTAAAACATCAATTCCTCATTTGCACTAGCCAATTTTCAAGTGTTCAAAAGCCACATGTGGCTAGTGGCTACCAAGGTGAACAGTGGGGACAGACAGTATTTCCAAAACTGCAGAAAGTTGTGTTGGATGGTACTGCTCTGGACCAGGGATAAGTACTCTCACTCTCCCTGAAACATACTCAGACAACTTCCCTTTTTATGAAATTCTATTTCCGTGTCTATATAAGTACCTGTGTATTATTATTGTTTGGTTGTAGGTGATTATTTCTCTTTCTGGCATATGCATGCATAATGCATATGTTTCTTTTTTTCTTTTAACCAAAAAATTTAATGATCTGGCCTCCTCTATCCCATATAGCTTAGTCAGCAATTCTCATTAACACTCTCTCTCTCTCTTTTTTTTTTTTGTTTCTCATTAACTTTTATAATTAAAATCACCTGAGTCTTTGTTTCCACTTCTCCAAGGCAATAACAAGAGTGCCTCAACTCTTAGTGTCACTGTCTGCTCGAATGTGAAATAAAGAGTATTTGGGGGTAGCAGGTCATTACTTTCTATCAAGTGATGAAAATCAAAGCTGGATGCCATGGATCATTAGAAATGTTACAGTAGCATATCATCAACAACTGACCAGCTTTTGTTGATTTTTTTTTTTAAAAATATTTATTTTTAGTTGTAGGTGGATACAATATCTTTATTTCATTTTTAAGTGGTACTGAGGATTGAACCCAGTGCCTCACATGTGCTAGGTGAGCACTCTACCACTGAGCCACAACCCCAGCCCCAATACCAGCTATCTGTAATAAGAGTTTTAAACAGTGCAATTTTAGAACTACCTGTCAATTTTAAATGTTATAAATACAAAGAATTTTTGAAGTGGAGAGCAAGTCACACCAAATGCCATTCAATCCTACTGCTACTATGGGTTGTGGAATCAGCTCTGGACAGCAGAACCTGACCTGGCTTTTAAAAACAGTTGGCATACTGTCACTGTAAGAGTTTGAAGTACATTTTTTGGGGGGGGGGGAACACACTCTTGGTTCAGGTAAATCATTATCAACATTTTGAATAATAGCCCTAAACTGATTACTCTAGAAAATACTTAATAAAACCACAAGCCTTCCTGACTATGTACACACCTCCCATTAACCCAATGCTTAAATAACACTGAAATCTAATGAGTGTGTTCACATCTTTGCTTTATAAATATTTGGTTGTGCCTGATTTCACTACACTTATTTCAGTGTCTATAAAATTCCACATATTCTATGCCTCAATGAAAATATCTAAAAGTATATAATAGCTAACCATTTATTGACACCAACACATAGGTCTCCTTAGATTTTTTACTCTTGGTCTGGTGGTTACTCTAGTTCAAATATTAGGGAACAGAAAACTAGCTCTTCATTAGGATTAGATAGAAAGAGAATCTGTAACTTTGATATCCAAGCCTAATGAAAACATCTGAACTGTTTTGGCAAGAGGAGGAGAAAATGCAAAGCAAAAAAGTGTCTGATAACAAAGAAATTGATTTTTTAAGGAAGCTGTGATTAGTCCTTGGCTAGCTAATGCTGTCCATATCTGATCATTTTCATGAGGGTAGTAGTTACTGAATAGTTTTCATAAAGAGTTTTTAAATTTTGAGAAAACCCCAAATTGCATGAGCCAGAAGTTAATGCAGAAAAACAGGGTAATTAATACCAATAACAAAATCCCTTTTGTTTATTTATTTTGCTAAGTTATTGTTATTTACTTGCAAAATATGAAGTACTAATTAAAAACTCCAAAGTATGCATCAGAACTTAGAAAATTTATTACTATGGGTTTTTAGTAACCTTCATAACTGCTTTAGATAGTTTGCTTAATTTTGAGTGGAAATTTACTGTTGTGCACCCAAACAGCCACAGAAAGGAACCTCCCTCTCCTTTGTAAGTGTTTACATTCTGTTTCATTGTATTAACTGCATTCTTCTTTACATTGTTTTGTATTATTAAAAATGCAAGTATTATGAATGTAGGTCAAAGGGCATACCTGTATTCAAGTATTCTATTCTTTTTCTGTATATGGGAAAAAAATTTCAAAACTTATGAGTTGGAGTTAACTACATAAAGGGAACTGGTCCTACTCCTTCCTGCAACAAGATTTCCTCATTGCTTCCTTTATGCCTTGGTACATGATCATCACTTGGCTTAGAAAAAAAAATACCTCCTAACAGACAATAAAAAACCTTCTCCTGGTGGCTGGACACAGTGGTGCACACCTGTAATCCCAGTAGCTTGGGAGACCTAGACAGGACGAGCACAAGTTCAAAGCCAGCCTCAGCAAAATGAGGAGCTAAGCAACTCAGTGAGACCCTGTCTCTAAATAAAATACAAAATAGGGCTGGGGATGTGGTTCAGTGGTTGAGTGCCCCTGAGTTCAATCCCCAGTACCCGTCCCCCCTCAAAAAAAAAAAAAAAATCTTCTCCTGGTGCAGTGCAGTGATGCACTCTGGTTAGCTAATCAGAAGGCTGAGGCAGGAGAGCGGCAAATTCCAAGCTAGCCTAAGCAAGGGAGACCTTGACTCAAAATAAAAAATTTTAAAAAGGGCTGGGGATGTAGCTCAGTGGTTAAAGGGCCCCTGAGTTTAATCCCTGGTACTGCAAAAACAAATAAAAATTCTTTTCTTCCTAGCATCTTTTCCCTGCTCACTCTGATCACTACTTAGTAGTTATTCCTTTCTGAAGTTACATATTTAATATATACCATATATAACCTCCCATTTTTCTTTACCCCTGTCATTACTTTACTATGACTGCCAAAATGCCCAGCTTGGGTCATACAGTTGAGACTTCCAAAATAAGCCAGTGCCTTTCTGCCTTTTCTAGCCTCATCTTCCTGGAATCTATGCTCCCACCACACCAGCCTACTTGCTATTCCCAAGGTATGCATTTACTTCTCTGACTCCACACTTCTGTTCACACTATTCTCTATACTTCTCTTCTCTCCCCTGTGCTCCATCATCACTGAAATCCCATTTACCAGCTGAGGCCCTGCTCAAATGCCACCTCCTTTAAGGAACATTTTCTGATTCCTGTAAGATTACTCTGTTCTCTGTATTTTTTACAGCTTTTCACTAGTAGTTTATGTCTTCCTTTTGCTCTATAAATGTTTTGGGTTCTTGAAAACAGAAACTATCTTACTTGTGAATCTACTCTTCATGTTACCTAGCACAGTGCTTACACATAATAGGATTCAATAATTATTTACAGAATAAATGAAGATAAATTATCAGAATGTTCCAGATTCTTGGCAGGGACTACTGCTCTTTTTAATGTCAGAATCTAGTACACAGAGAGCAGTCAATAAATACGAATGACAATTTAATGTAAAGTCAAATCACCCAAATCAAAAATCTTGAGGATCCTTTGGATTTTAAATTAAATCTTTGCATTAAACAAAATAAAACAATGGTTAGCTAATCAGGCAGGCTACCAAATGGAGAGATGCCATACAACACTATTTTGGAGATACCCCTGGACCTCTCACCATCCATCATCCCAAAGCAGCACAGAACTCAGGTGACCAGGGAAGGAAATAGTTATTATAAGTATTTTAGAAATATTCCCTGATTTGTATCACATGGTAAGTTACTCGAAGAGAAAGTTTCCATGAATTAAGAAAGAAAACTCCTATGCATGAGGTAACAACAAATTCTACCACATTCTTTCCATGTAACTACTCTCTGATCCACTAAACTTTTGGAAAGAGAATAACCTAACCCAACTCTGTTTAAGACTCCCAGGGCCTTGTACACGTGTTTGCCTCACGTGT